GCCAAACTAGTAAATGGTGATCTACTAAAAAGTTACTTTGATCGACGGTCATGGGAACCACAAATAATGATCAATATATGAGAAAATATATATAAAGGTTGCTATTCTCCATTAGTAACAGTTTTGCAAAAATGGATGAAATTTTACAAGACGTAACGCAAATAGAACCATTACATATTCAAGAGTATTATCATCCCTATCAACCTACAGATGATTCTAGAACAAAAATGAGAATTATTCAAAGAAATTATCGATGAACAAAAGTGGCCCAGAACAGAATTGGAATGTTGATAAACATGTATTTCGCTGGAGAACTTTTCAAAATTCAAGTTGGAGGAGGATTGTCAACAGAAGAAATTGTAACTCCAAATATCACGTGAGATCTGTCGATCAATAATGACCTCACGTTAGATGATGTTACTGCTGTGCCAAACAGTGATTAGCAATAATTTCTGTTTCGCCTGATATGCTTGTTTCTTCTGTATTTTTTGTACAGTCTGTTTATTCTGATTACTCTATTTTGTTTGTAATTTCTTTAATGTTCATAACTTATTTTATTTCTTTTTATTATTTTTATTATTTTATTATATTTAAGTATATTTTTATTGAGATATATATCTATATTTAGTTAATTTATAGCATAGCAAATAGTTAACTGTAACAAAGTCATTTTGTATAAATAGAATAGCTTTTTGCTTAAATTGTAAATTAACTCAGTTGTAAGTTTATAAGTTTCATACAAGTTTCAAGTTATAAATAAAGAAATCAATTTAAATCTATACAAACTACTTTTTCCTTCAACGTTATTCTTCATCTAGGATTGTTGTGATATACTACACTAACTTGCTATTGAGTTCATCATTACAAGTTTGATTAATATATCTTAAATTCTAAGACATAATAAATTGCCAAGTTGATTCAAGTATAATGGATACCTGTAGGACTTAAAGAAAATCTTAAGGTCAAAAACTCCAACATGTAGAATCAGCTGCCGTAACCTTTTAATTTAAACGTTAAGATAAATAAAAATGAACCTGGTAACAACAGTATAGAATATAAATATACTAGTGAAATTACAAGTAATCTTTATCAGTATTTAAAAAATAAACATTCTGTTAAATTAGAAAAATTAGAAACAAAAGAGACAATAGACAAATATATTAATAAAATACCATCTGTAAGTTTAAAAATATTTTATATATTTATTAAATATTAAAATTTATATAAGTTATATAATATTTCTCAGTTATATTTCATGAATATATTTCTAAATGGACTATTTGTGATAATCAATCTTTTTAATTCTTGAATTAGAAAACTTGCAAAATTTATTTTGAATGTTAAATTCTAATATTAAAATATCTTCAGCTGATACTATTTATACAGATATAATAAAATATTTTAATTAAGAGTGTGTAAAATTCAAGATATTTTATAGGTAATTATTTTTTATTATTTTTATTTATATAAATTTAATATTAATATTTATTTTTATTTTAAGGAATTACAACTCATCAGATTTTAAAAGAATGGAAATTAATAGAAATTTAAGTTGATTTTTATAAATTAAATGGAACTCATTCTGAAAAGAATTTAGCAGAATCTTTTATTAATTGCTGTAATAAATTTAAAATTCTTATTAAAGTATGTATATATTTTTTAATTTTTTTAAAATTTAATTTAAAATTATAATTTATAATTAATTATATTATAGATTCAATTTTGCATAACTGATAATGCCAGAAATATTGTTACTATGATAGAAGAACTTGAAAAAAAATGTTAATTACAAAATATTAATTTTACTAAAAAAATTAATTATATTTGATGTTTTGTACATATTATAAATTTAGCTATACAAAAGTGCACTTATTTCTTTAAAAGCTAATTATTTAAAAAGTAAAATTAAAATACTTAATAATGAAGTAATAAATAGTATAGTTTTAAAAGTAATAATATATGTATTTTTTAAATTTTAAAATTAATTTATAACTTATAATTTATATTATATTTATTTATAATATAGCTTTATAAGCTTATTATTTAAATTAGAGTTTTATTTTAATATCATGAAAATTTTATGCCAATGTAATGAAGCTTCTCTTCCTGTTAAAGAACTTATATTAAATGTAAAAACAAGATGGAATTCTACTTATAATATGATTAAACTTAATTTTGAATTATATGAGATTAGTATTAAAAATTTATTATTATAACTAAATTTATAAAAATTTATTAATAATTATTATAATTATTAAAGGCTTTAGATAATACAAGAATATCTGAATAAGAATTAAGATTATATATTCTAAATAATTGTAAATAGAATTTATTAAAAAAAATAGAAAATTTATTAAAGGTAAGAAATAATATAATTAATTGTATTATAATATATTTTTTTTTAATTAATTATAAAAGTTTTATAACTTTATCAATTATAATACTAACTTATAATTGGTTAATGAATATAATTAAAGATTTTCAAATAAAAACTTTAATAATAGAAATAAATACTACTGCTACAGTAGCATTAGAAAAATTAAAAAAATATTATTATCATACAAATTTTAATGCTTATTCTATTACTACTAGTAAGTTTTATTTATTTTGTTTATTAATTTTAATTTATAGATTATTAATTTATTATGATTAATTTATAATACTTGATCTACAATTAAAATTATTATATTATATTGATAATCATTAAAAAGTAAATTTTATTGAAGAATCATGTGAAATTTTTACTTTTTATTTTAATATGCATTATGAAAGTTCTGAAGAAGATGATGATTTATTAAATCATATATATAAAAGACAATATATATAAAATATTAATGAAATAGAGTATTATCTTAATGCTTTACTTGTATCTTTAAAGACTAATTTATTACAATGATAAAAAGTAAATAATATATTTTATTAATAATTTCATATTATTTTTAAACTTATTAATTTTATTTTTTTTTAGTTAAATAAATCACAATATCCTTATTTAACAAAAATGGCAAGAGATTTTTTAGCTATTTTAGATAAATAAATTTAAATTTTATGTAACTTTTATAATTTTAGTTTTTAATTAATCTAATTTATATTTATTTTTAAACTACTAATATTTTGATAGAAAAAGAATTTTTTAAGAAAACTGATCTAATTACATAAAAAAGATGTAATTTATCAGCAAAAACAATTAGAACATATATGTATCTTAAATTTTGGTAGCAAACTATTTTAAAGAAAAAATTTTATTTTTTTTATGATTTTGATTTAAATAAAATAATATATAAACTTATATTATATATTTTAAAATAAATTTTTTATATTTAAATATTTATAAGTTAATTTAAATTTGACTCAAAACTTGATTTGAACTTGATTCAACTTAAATAAATTCAAGTCAAAATTGAGTCAAGTTAAATTCAAGTTAAGTCAAATTGAGTTGAGTTTAAAAATTTATATAACTCGAATCAAAAGTCAAGTTGAAAGATTTTATAAAATAAATTTGACTCAATTTAACTTGAAAAAAATAAGTTAAATAGAGTTGATCTTTAAACTTAACTTAACTTAACTTATTCAGAACTCTAATTACAGTAAATTTAGATTCTACTAATAATAATAAAATAATCAAACGGAAGGTCTAATGATAAAAAATAATCTGAAAATGAAGAAATAAGAATTTAATGAAAATAAAAGAAAGATAAAATGTAAATATCAAATATTACCTAATAAGAATAATTGGAATCTAGAAGCAATAATAAATATAATCAAAAAAAAATATAACTATTATGAAAATTAAAGATTTAAATAAAGTTACAACAATAATAATAAAAGTTTGAAGATTAATTAGCCAACAAGAAGTTATAGAAAATGACAATACTGAAATAATAAAAATGAAAATGAATAAAGATAATAAAATAATGGAATAAAGAATTAGATAACTGAGAATAAATTGAGAAAATGAAAATAAGATTCTTGAACAAATAAATTAATTTGTAAAACAAATCCTCTTGAAGACAATTGGCAGAAACAGTTTAAAAAGGTATAGCTCTTGTTGAAGCTATCAAACTCATAAAATATCATACATTTGTAAAACATAAGTTTTGATGATTACAACTCTCATATTGTCAATAATTTCTTTATGTATGAATAATAATCAAAATTTCTTGCTTTTCATTTATTTAACCATGCTCACTTCCAAAACACAGAAACTAAAATCCAGTTTTACTAATACCAATTTTTCTCAACCTTCCTCTATTTAGATCATCTCACTTTAATTAGAAACTCTTACATATACAGTTGAAGATGACTGCTCTTTCTCATGCAGTAATAGCTAGTTGTTGGATGGCAAGTAACTCTATTAGTGATTGTTACCAAAGCCTAACGGGACAACCGGTTGGTCTGAAAGGAGTTAGGTTCTTCCAATCATGATCTTTAGGCAGCTTCATTTTATTTTTTTTTCTACTTTTGTACCTAGTTTTTTAGGAACTTCATGTAATACTTTTACTGAATTTGAATATTATTAATAAAATAAGCATTACCGCGTCATTAAAAAAAAGGTGATTCAAATTAAATGAAATTTTGATATGTTATTATTTGAGATTGTATCTAAAATGTATTAAATTAAAATTAGGTTTAATTCCAATCGGTGAGTTCTGAGAAACACGATGTCAAAGATCGTGTTCGGAGACTTTTGAATATATTAATTTTTTTATATAATCAAATCTAATTTAAAAAGGAATTATTATATTTTTTATACTTTAAAATTTATTGATAAGCAAGCTAAATTTTCAAGTTTTAAGAAAAATCTTTAATCAATTCAAGTAGAATTGAAATGTTTTTCATATCTATTTATACGAAGATCTAAAATGATAGTACTAGAGTACTAGGAATTAAAATCGCAGAGAATTTTTTTTTCATAATACGGAGGAAAATATTTATTTCTTCTCGATAACTAAGATTACAATGCTATAACGAATTGGTTAATTTTAAATAAAACGTGATCTTCACCAACCTTTATTCGTAAGACATTCAAGAGCTATGAAACGACGGAAATGACTAAATACGATTCGCCCCCCAAAGAAAGAAAAGAAAAGAAAAGAAAAGAAAAGGTAAAAGTAAATAATGTTTTAAAGAAAAAACTTGTCATCAAAATATTACCATTCACCCAACTCAAAATTTTGTTTTATAACACACCACTACATTATACAAGGAAAATAAAAAAAAGTTTAAAAAAGGGAAATAACAGATATATATATAAATAAAAGCAATCTACAAAATTATACAGTTAGAAATTATATTTAAAAGATTACAGAAGTAAAGAATTTGGTTTCCAAATAATACTGCGTAAAGAGAAAAAAAAATGTTATGCGTAACGTCCCAACCGAAATTTAATATCCTGGAAGAAAACAAATCGTCCATACTTTTTTTTTTCCTTTTCTTTTTTTTTTTTTTTTGGTTTGATAGCAATTTTTACTGTGGACCATTTTGCGTATTGCCACCATCGTTATTATTATGAGAATGATTTCCATGACCGTTACGGAATCCCCTATTATAATTATTAACAAATCCTCCACGACCACGACCACGACCTCGTCCGCGCCCTCGAGATCGATCATTGTTATATCGATGATCTTCAGCCTTATTAATCTTTAGTGAATTTGATCGAAATGCCTTTTATCAATTTTCAAATAAAGTGACGGAAAAATAATATTTTATTATTATTATTAATAATTTGTCATAAATTCTAAATAGCAAAATATAATATATTTTTTTAATACCTGGCCATTTAATAGAATAGCCTCTTCTTGTGATGCAGCATCACTAAATTCTACATATGCAAAAGTACGTTGAACCCCAGTTTGTTGATCATACATCAAGCGAACCTTTTCAATCTAACATTATATATATAATCGATTAATTATTTGTAGATAATTTTAATAACCACAATAAATACTTGAACCTTAAATTAAAAATTTACGAAATATTTACCTGGCAATCGGTATGTTCGAAAATTCCTCTAAGATCTTCCTCAGTTACAGGAGGTGTCAAGTTACCAACGTAAGTAGAAAATTGGCTTTTAACATTATTGCGACGATTATTATATTGGTTGCGATTTTGCGGCACAGCTAAATTATTATTATTATTACTATTATTGTTATTGTTATTATTATTATTATTACTAGAACCCTCTTCGCTGTTTGAAATACTGTTAATATGATCCTGACTGGGCTCATTCGAATCTACTTTTGACCAAGTAGATTCATGTTGTGTTTGATCAGCCCAATTACCACCACTGTCTACGTTTCCATTTATTTGATTAGAAATGATATTTTCTGAAACAAAAGTATTTGCGGTATCATTATTACTAATAGTATTACTGTTATTGGTAATTATAGTGTCTGTCTGGCTACTATTACTGACTTCACTTCCAGCAATTTTTGATGAATCACGTTCAGCAGTATCATTATTCGTATCTAAAACTTTTTGTGATGTAGAGTCTTCATTTGTAGGAGATGAAGGCTCATTATTATTATTCCATGGTTTCCAACCATTACTATTAAGTTCATTAGGTGACGTGATCTGAGTTGGAGATGATGATCTTTGAGGAGCTAAAATCGGCGACGGCCCAGCACTTATGTGTGGTTGAGGAACAAGGGCGGGAGAAGGCTGCCATTGTGATTGGGTTCGTCTAGTTTGGAGATTCATGGGTGATGGACTGGTGGGCGCACCTATCTGCGTACTTTGGGGCGCGCCTGTAATTGGGTTAGTCGTTGGGGCTCGACGATAAGCGAAATTGAAACCTAAGCGAAATTTTGTAAATGATTAATGAATTTAGCCATATATTTAAATTCTTCATACAAAACCTTTCCAATATGCATTTTCTGATTATAAATTATTAAATTACATAAAATGAATATACCTTGTGCTTTTGTCTCGGCAGATACTCTACCATCTTTAATATCCAATAATACCCAACCAAATGCAGCATCGGGCAGATTAAAGTTCCACATATTTTTAAAGGAAGGCTCTTCCCTTTCTCTATTAACCGATGGAACTTTATCTACAACAGTGAGTGCGTTTTGCAATAGAACTCTCTGAGAATCACTATAAATTGATCGATGAGAATTCATTCAAATAAAATAAAAATTTGATGAATGATTACACGAGACGATCTTTTTTTTTGTGCACTTACTCAATATATCCTTCAACTTGACTTTTAACAGACTCCCACATTTCATAGAAGCACTTTTTGGAGGCTTCTAATTTATTACAAAAATTTGCTTGGTCAACTTGTACAGAAAACTCGTTGTATGAAATGCCGTAACGGAAATGAAGACCAGCGGAAATAGTGAAGTCAGCCTATAACAGATAAGGCATCAAAATTAATTCAAAACACAAAATTTATCAATTAAATTTTAATTTCCAAAGCTTACACGTAAAACAACAGATAATTGCGCTAAAAGTCCCTCACGACCAGGACTAGCGTGTGTGACAAGTACTCTCGTCTCAGTTGGATCGAACACCTATTTCACAATGAGTGATGAATTCAATTTTTATTATTATTATTATTATTTTAAAATTAATATAGAATAAATAAGGTTCATAAATAACTGGAGCATACTTACTTTTTGAGCAGTATCAACCAATTCACCTATCTGTAAAATAGTTGTCCACATAGTTCCATGACCCCCGGCAATGGTTGCAATACCTTTTTTACAAAAAGCATATTAAAATGAGACATCCAAGATATAATTAAAAATAAATTTTTTGACGAGCTTAGACTAACCGTCGCCATTATCAAAGAGTTTATGTTGAACCACGGCACCACCTAATCCAAACAATCTTAAACTTACGCCACCCACGTCGATTACATAAGTGTTGGCTTCATCTAAAATAAATAAATTATGCACTTTGTAATGTCCCATCCTAAATTTTTCTAAAACAGTAACATCTTCACATGCACCCCATACTGTATATACAGGAACATCGAGTGTTTTATCTCCTTTCATGAAAAGTGGAAATTCAGATAATAGAGGAGTAGGTGATTCAAGAATTGTGCGACGTAGCTCCTCTGGAGATGTAGAATTATGAAGAAGTTTGTTTCTTGATTGTGTAGGTATGATAGTACTATAAGTAACAAGGTGACGTAAAGTCCTAAAGAAGAAATAAAAAATTACATCAAAACATAAACATTATAGTTTCTATGCAGGAAAATCGAACAAATAAAAAAGTTAAGCTTTTGATTACCTATCGCTAATTCGTTCCAGACTATTATTTTCTGTGAAATAAAATAAAAAATTTATTTATTAGAAAATGTAATCATCGAATACATCAAAATTAAGTAATCGAAAAGTTATGCGAAATCGGATATTAAAAGGACAAACCATAAAATCCGAAATCGCCCGAATGAATAACAGCAATAGCACCGGTTTGTTTTGCGAGTTGATTCAATTGAGAAATGTTGCCTGTTTAGTTTTTAAAAAAAAATCTGTTAATATAATATTTTTAATATTTAATTGTTGATAATCAGCGAATAGATTAAAAAAAAAAAATGACTCACCTCTTACATCTGCAACACAAATGATTTTACCAGCGTCTGTACTGATTACATTAGCGCTACCTACCGGAAGGTTAGATGTATTAACCGATATACCTATACTATTTGAAATTGTTCGATGTACGTTGACATGGTTTGTTGAGGGCTGCTCTGATACAGATGTACCGTAACCTGACGAAATCCCTATAGAAAGCAAACAATTATCGCGACAATGAATAACTACAAACAGGATAATCCTATGCGCGTCATTAACAAATTGATACGATACTTACCGTTTTGACCATTTGCCTGGTATGTATTTCCTTGAGCGGCATAAGAAGGGTTACCGTGCATGACCCAGTTATTTACTGAGGTTGAGCTAACTGTTTGCTCATAATTTTGCATTTCTTGAGCTGGCATGCTAGAGGCTTCCCAGTTTTGGCCTACTTGATTATTATAATTATTATGCTGTTGCCTCGTAAATCGCTGTGGCTCTGTTAGAGCGTAATCTGTCATTATGAGAAAAACGTATGATCTTAAGCTCTTTTAATAAATACGAGTCCAATAAATATTTGTGATATGTTACTAACAATTTGTTGAGAAACGATAGCAAATCTTGGAATATTGGAAAGAGAATAATACACAAGATGAACACAATCGTAGGACCGTTAGTAAAATGTCGCGAAAGTGCTACGAAGAAAATCCGAAAAGTTGCACAGTTTGTAGAGAAAAATATAAACCTTGTGATGTCACACAATTCATATAATCACTCACACTCTCGTATCACGTTTAACTTTAATATTGTTTCACAGCCACAAATGAAAATTTTTTAAAGCCACTATGGCAAAGCCACAGAAAAAAAAACAAGAATGTTACAAATCAGGAATTTTTGTTGATGAGCTAACGCATCAATTTTATTTTTTTCAAATTTTGTTATAAATTCTTAAGAATATACGACCTCAAACGCCGGCTCTTCTTGTGAAGTGAGAAAGAAAATAGCGAAGCAAAAAATTCCGGATACCACGTCGGATCACGCCTTTTATTAGAATTCAGGAAGCTTGCACCACATAGACAATTAACCGCAAGGTGCATGAATTTATAGCGCTTTCTTTCCAAGAATGATGCCACGTTTGCGTTTTGGAGCATGTCGTGATGCATTGAAGTCGATAGATTCGCGTAACATCGTTCTTACAGTATAGCTAAACCAATCAACTAGTTACATACAGTCATACATTAGAATCTAGCGGGTACTTTTGAAAAAATACCAGACTTTTTACTCTCAACCAGTTTTCAAGTGGCATAAAATCAGAGCACAACGATGGAGGTTTCTTAGAACGCAAATTAATTTTAAACCTTCGTTTTCCTGCGAAGTTTCTAGAGCAAAATCATTCATAGCTTTGTCCCATACGTTATAAGGTGTTAAAGTTCACGGCGTATTAGGCATCGAGCCCGTAAATTTATGTTCAGCTTTATATGACCACGAAAAGGCAACGGTTGCAAGTCCATTGTACCGTTTCATCCACCGGCGTTTCTCTTGTCTTCTTGCCTGCTGAAAGTTTCTCTACTTAAATTTGAAAATTCTTGACTCTCTCGATTCTGCGTTTATCTTTTTTGATTTAACACAGCGACGTGTTTCGTTCCAAAATTTCGCTTCCTGTTGATTTCGTAATTCGGATAGCATTACTCGATTGAAGCACTACAGAACCGTAACAAAATTTCAATAAATCGCTTCACAGTAATAATTGTATTTTTGAGGTTTATGCCATTTTATTGAATGAATTTTCTGTTGTAAATGTGGTTATATAATATTTATAGACGTTAATATAATTTGTAAATACATACCATGACTTCTTAACAATGAACATGTCTTAAATCCTAATTGGGTGTGTTGAATCGGTTGACTGTGCGGTCACTTATGCATATAACCACATACATTCCTTGGCGCCTTCCTCTCCTTTTGTTAAATAATTTTATTTTCCAGTTCTGACCATGGGCAAATTAAGTGATTTTTCCAACTCTTTTTGAGCTTGTGATGAATTCTTCTACATCACCAAAAAAAAAAAAAAAAAAATTTATGTAAACAAAATGGGACCATTTGTCCATTGTTTTGATTTTCCTTATCGAGCTAAGGAGAACAATAGAATCCAAAAACTTAATTTTTTTACAACATCTAAAATGGATAGATCACAATGAACAATTGTTGGAAATAAACGACTAATTTCAACAAAAATCGAGTCGCCTAAAAATTCAAAAATTTTCCATTTACGCCATTATATTATCGTTATGTTTCAAAGGTCGAGAATGTATTAAGGAAAAATTTTCCATTATACAAATAAATGAATATCTACTTTAATCATCATTTTCGTTCGTAAAGCGACCAAAAGCGAACAATTTCTTGGATTGTAATTAAAAATTTTTTTTTTTTCAACTATATTACAATCGTTCTCTTCTGAATTTAATTATGTAATCCTTCTGGATGGGCACATTGCAGGAAAATTACAAGATCAAACAACAATCACACCTGCAGTTTCTCAGCCAATCCAATTTTTGAACGAAAATAATTAATGAACATGTCTCACAAGAAAAGTTGAAAACCCCCCACCCATAAAAGATTGGCCCCCCATAATTTTTTTTTTACTTTTTTGATATTATTAGCGAAACTCTTAAGTCAACATACAATTAAAGTGTGTATTACCCTTTGAGCGAACTTTATCTTTGCATTCGTTTGTCTTTAAGTAAAAAAAAAAATTAAATAAATAAATAAAATAAACAAAATATTTTGAACTCGTGTCACCGATATTCTTGTATCTTTTTTTTTTTAAAAAAAAAAAAAAAAAAAAAGTGGAGGGAGAGAGAAACAAGCGTTTATATTTATTGAAAAATAATAACAAAAAATTATAAATAAATAATAATAAATAATAATAATAATAAAATAATAATAATAATAAAATAAAATAACGGGTGGGTTTACCATATGATTTCAAACTTTATCAAAGAAGACAATATAGCCGATAACGAATTTACACAGCTGCTTGAAGACTATACCTCCGCCAGTTTAGCCTCCAACCTGGATAATAATAGTTCTAATCACGCTGCAACCTCAACGGCAGCCCAGCAACACCGAACTTCACCTTTTACCATGTCCCCTCTCCTCACCTTAACTCAAAAGGAGAGTGGGAATACGAGAGATTACATTAACGATATTGTTTCCTCGTCCGTATACCCTCCACCCACTCAAGATCATCAAAGAGTATTACGTCAAATGATGAGTCTCTGTAAACATATTTATTCAAGAGGTTTGATCGAAGGAAGTGGAAGTGACGTGACAATTAAAGCATTTGGTAAAGATTATCATTTACATAGGATCATACTTTATCAAAATTCCTATTTTTCCGTTTTATTGGAAGGTCCATGGAAAGAAAGTGTTCAAAAAGATATAGAACTTCGATTTGATGATGAAAACATCACGCGTGATGCATTTGAAATTGCATTAGGACGTTTGTATGGTAGATTAGATGAGATTATCTCGCCTTTACAAGTATTGAATCTTCTTGCTACTGCATCATTTCTTGACCTTCAAGATTTATGTGAAATGTGCGTTGAGGTAATATTAAGAGATATTAAGGAAGATACTGTTGAACATTATTTAACTTTTGCGACTTCACATTTTTACGGGTCACATTCTGAAAAAATTACGGAATCATGTTTCACTTATCTATGCAGGGAAGGATTTGATAATTTAAGACTCAGGCCTGCATTTTTGAAATTACCTGCTGAATGGCTTAAAAGGGTGATTGAAAGTGATGCTTTCTGGGTACCTAGTGAATATGAAAGATATATTTTTGCAAGAGATGTGGTTAGTCAAAGAAGGAAAATTACCGCAGAACAAAAGAGACATACTTTGGTATCATCCTCACTAATTAATGATACAGATTTATCTTTGAACGTATCCCTTCCTACTTCTCCTACATCGTCAACAATTCCAAATTCTTCTCATAAAGCAAAAAGGTTACAAGATTCAACATTTTCTTATCATACAAGAAGATCTTCTTCAATTAGTACCTTTAATTCTATATGTTCTTCAAATTCTTATCAAACTGAAAGTGATGAATCAATTTATAAGGCCATATTCACTTATGCAATATATTATGCTCACATGGCCTTTGAAGAATTAACTTCAATTTTGTATGATTGTGATGATACAACGGGTGTTCCATTTGCACCCGATCATGTCTTAAAGGAAGCTTTATGGCAACAAATAGATTTACGTAATAAGATTGAAAATACTGCAGAAAATGATATAACATTGGGTATATCTTCTTCTGAGATACCCTCTAGTTCAACTGGCGTTCATTTTGAGATTCCATCAGATGATACTACGCACATAGGGGAGGCATTGACCGGTTTGGAGGACATGATTGGGGGTGGAACGAAAGCAATGAAAGATGGTGAAGGTAGAGGAAGTGTGGAGTATTCATTATTTGCCCCTTTCAGATTCAGTGTCGAATTTGCGGATGTCGCGAAATTAAAAGAGAAGCAAAGAGTTTATTCCGGCACGAAATTCTATGCTGGGTAAGTGAAAATATTTCCTCGTTAATAACAATTAAACTCGTGACATTTGACCGGGAATTTGTTACCAAGTTAATGAACTTTTTTTTTTTATTTGATCTTTATAGGTCTAATTGGAACATGTATATTCAGAAAATAAAAACCCCACGTAAAGGTATACAACTCGGGGTATATTTACATCGTCATTCAATGCCTGATCCAAATTCACCCGGAAATACTTCAAGTTCCTCAACAATGGTGAATGGATCATCCGCAAATAAAATTCCTCCTCGGTCGTCCTCACCAGGAACCGAAGAAAGATATGCTCCTGCTGCTCGTCCAACTATTCATATGAAAAGTAACAACGAGAAAAGTTTCTCAAAATATGCTGATAAGAGAAAGACAGTTAGGACTTGGTTTAAAATTTTCTGTCCAGCTAGGGGTCCTAGTCATGTTTTAACACAATTTCAAAGTAGTCCTGATAATTTTGCATTAATGCAAAGTTGGGTATGTATGTTATTTTTATTCAACCATTACGAATTATTTCATTTAATTATATTCTCGTATTTTACTTTTACAGGGATGGCGAAGTTCAAGTCTATGTCAAGATGATTATCTGTTGGATGTTCGTGACTATGATAATTCATCGTCATCAATATCTACTAATTCCTCAACATTAAAATTTTCTGTTGTGATGGGACATGTATAAAATAATAATTATCACCAATCTTGTTACCACAAATAAAAAATATCTTTCATTTCTTTGACATATATTTATTTCCCTAAAATTTTCATAAGATATAGATGACATACATATATATATATAAATCATATATATAAATAAATATATATACAGTATATATTTATTTTAATTGTATTATAGAATTTTTTTTTTTTTCATTCTTTTTGTTAAATAACTTCTTTCTTTATATATATTTATATATCGATTTATAATGAAAAATTACCGATGCTACATATCCAAGTTAATGAATCGACGTGAAATTTCATATTTTCTTATGCTAATCTAGCACAAAATAAATTAATAAAATTTATTTATTTTTTTTTTTTTTTTTAGATAACTCGTCTTATAAATCATTATATATAGTGAAATTACATTTATTACAATTTACCCAAAAAGTGAATAATATTACATTGAAAGGCTTTAGATGACTTAAACTCCATCATACAAATTGCAAAAATCAAGAATAAATAAATGAAATTTATAAAAAAACTATTTATTTCTTCTTGAATCCAAATTTAAAGGCTGGTTTTTGAATCTAATTATATAATAATAATTAAAATTAGAATGAAAATAGAAATAGTATTGTCTAATATATATTATACACATAAATGAATATACCTCTGAAGTGTCTCCAGATGTTTTACCGATTCCAAATGTTAGTTTTGATTTTGATTTATTCGCTGTATTATTAGATAAATTTACAGTATCTGATGTATCTGATCCAGTATTAATATTATTTGGTTGATTTATTGTTGAAGATATTACTGTTGAAGACCAGCCACTGTATTTAAATGCTGGTGACGAATTCCATCCACTTGTGTTACTTGTAGTTGTCGCACGTACAAAATTCCAGCCTCCTTGTTGAGTATTATCGATATTTGTTGAATTTGACGGTGAAGAGGATGAGCTTATATCCACCGAAGTCCAACCTCCACCTCCTCCCTCTGAATC